CTCAGTTTAACCAAGCATCAAGGGGGAAATGCCGATTACGGAGAAATAGATCTCTATATCGTCTCTTCCCTTCACAGAGGCAGGCAAGGGACAAAGCAAAAACAGGGCAACAGGGAAGGCCTGTGCGCCCTCGGAGGTCTCAGGCGTGTGGCCACATGGCTCAAGTGCTGCAATTGGCCTGTGAGTGTTTTTCCCGTTGGTGATTTGAGTTGGAAATAACTGCCAACACATTAAAAGAGAGGCAAGAATTCTCTGACCAATGCTTTGCAAGTGAGTTCTGCTGTTCCTCGGCTCACCAAAACTCTTAGGTGTGAGCTTTGGTAACACAAAAGTTCTTAATTTTAATGAAATCCAACTTATCAGCCTTTTCCCTTTATGGTGATTTATATGCCCTGTTTTTTTTAAAAAAAAAAAAAAACAACTATGAAAGTCATGAAGATATTGTCTTTTGCTTTCTTCTAGAAGTTTTATTGTCTTACCTTTCATATTTAGATCTATGACCCATATTGAATTAATTTTTGTGCATGGCAGGGATCCAGCTCGATTTTTTTTTTCCACGTGGCTATCCAATCGCTCCGGCACCATTTACTGGAAAGACCGTCTCCTCCCCGCTGAATTACGATGGCATCTGTATTGTAAATCAAGGGGCTGTATGTGTGTGGATGTGGATCTGGGCTCTCTTCGGTAACCTGATCTAGTTGTGTAATGTTTGCGACAATACCGCACACTTAATTACTGGAGCTTGATAATATGTCTTGAAATCTAGTGAAGTAAATCCTCCAACTTCGTTCTTCCTCAGGATGAACACTCAAAGTCGGTGCCTGTCCATTGTGCCTCAACAAAAAAGAAAATATCACAAAAGGGACCTTCTGGGGGGGGTTAGGAAGGCGTGATAATGAGCTTTGCAGTGACGGAGGGCTCCCTTCAGAGACAGCGCAGAAGCGTCCTCTGGGCAGCCCACGCCCATTGCTCCCCAGCACCAAGGCGGATGGGCCAACGCCAGGACTCACTTTCCTCCTGATTTGTGTCGCTCATTTACACTGCGGATCCTGGAGGTCTTCAAATGAATGGACTCTCGCATCAGGGCCTGTTGCAGTGGCTTTGGCCCCAGGACGGGGCGTCCCTGGGAGCGGCAAGGAGAAGCTATGCTGCTGTAACAGGGGCAAGTGGAGAGAAGCCCAGGGCATGCCGGGCCGGGTCACTCTTTGGGGGGGGCCGCCCATGCCCTGTGGGATGCTGAGCAGCAGCCTCAGCCCACAGGATAACCTAGTTGCAACAATCAGAAGTTTCCAGATGTTGCCAAATGTTCTCCTGGGCACCGGGCAAAATGGTGCCCAGTGGAGAACTACCGACTTACACCTGGTGTAGAAACAGAAAAGGTGCAGGAACCGCACTGGGGCTCAAATGACTGGCAGGGCCCCCAGGCTCCACCTCCCCTCAGCCGAAGCAGAACCATGTCTACAGGGTGGGGGGGGAGGGCCACTTTGAGGGCGGCCTAGGCAGCAGGGAGCTGGAGCCAGCAGAGCTGCACCACACTCCCGGGACATCTCTCACATCGAGTACAAGGCCCAGTGTCCCCTGGAGCTGTGCGACAGGTGGCCTGGAAGTGGCCTATTTACAAGCACCATCGTCCTGGTCTCTAAATTCTGCCCATTTCCCCCCCACACTGCCCATTACCCCCGCCCCGCATCTTCCACGCACATACACAATGTCAGTCTTGTGTAAACAACATTCAGGGAGAAACATTCAGGTCCCTCTAAGCAATTCCTAACAAGCTCACCAGAGCCAAAGAGATGAGGAAAAGACCTCAGCCCCTGAACCATGACCCCTGCCTCTCAGAACCCCACAAGGACTGAGATGCAGGCTCCCACCACACATGGGTTGAGGTTCAAGCCAATTTCATTTACATTTCAAAGGCCTGAATCACAATTCTCTGTATCTGTATTTAATTTGCATTGCTTTCCTTTATTTCATCCCCCAAGCATTATCTTTCTTCCCCTTGGCTTTCCTTCAGCCCTGGAGCTTTGAATAAATCTAACACAGGGTGGGAGGCTGAGCTCTGTTCCTCGGTGCTGGACCAAGAATGGGAGTGGTCTGTCCCAGGTAGAAAGGGGTGCGTTCTCTGTAAAAATTTAAAAATGATAAACAAAAAAAAAAAAATCAGTCTGCTTTGATTATCACCATGCACCAGCAACACTAAAATTGTTTAGACATTGGTCAGTGATAAAATGCTCCTCTCAACCCTCCAAATAATGTCGGCCTATGTTTTAAACAATTACTGTGGTTACGACTGTTTTAAAAATAAATATCATAAGCTTAAGCAACATCAGCAGAAGACATAAATCCACACATAGATACATGTAATATTTATGTCTTCTTGCTGATGTTGCTTTTGCTTCTGTTACTACAGGGTACTCACAGGTGAATCTTAAAACTTTCACACAATTTCTGTGTCAATTCCTTTTTTCTGCCCAATCTGCCAAGAAAATCTCAGGGCACATAAAAGGATGGTACGGCTTGGTTGTAGTACAATCACACACAATCTTATCCTCAAAGGTAAAGATCAATTTTAAGTTTGAAAGAAAAATGCGATGAGCAGGGAAATCAGCTAGCTGCAAACACAAACCACACTTCCAGATCACCTGATATTGAAAAACAATATGGCAGGACTCTGGAGTTTGCCATGAGGATGCTACACTTGGGGGATTCTCTCCCCTGGGCTCAGGGATATTTCAGAAATGTTAAATTCAACTGAGAACTCTTGTTCAAAAAAGTTGGGAGTTTCACACTTTCAATTTCTGAGCTCTTCATTTCTACATTCTTACAAGTCTTCTGGCCAAAGAAACAGAACATCCCTGTACTGCTTGGCTTTTCGGGGGCCCCTGATATCTTCCCCCAAAAGGGCGAGCCGCGGGTGGAAAGTCTCACGTCATCTACTCAGACTCCTGCCTACCAGGGTTTGGTCCCTCGTGTTCTGGGCTTCGGTCCTTCCTCCAAACATACGCCAGAAGATGTGTAACAAATCAAACTAAGAGGTTTGGTTCATGTCAGAAACACTAGTTTACAATCTTCCAGTGAAGCATTTCCTTTCTAGGGGGTAGGAAAAAATTGGGAGAACACAAATCACTCCTTGAATATCAGTGACTTCATCATGCATTTGTGCTTACATTTTGAAAGGAGCCTAATCTCAGGGTGCTTTCTGCTTCTCACGACACTGCAAGGCCTTCTATCTGGCCTTCTGCCCAACTCTTGCCACATCCTCTCCCCCACGCCACCCCCACCACTCTGTCTCCACCCATTTCAGCCAGAGGAGAATGTTTTGCAGTCCTCAGAATACACCATGCTTACCCTGTCTTCCCTTAGCATACACAGTCTCCACAGCCCAGAACACACCCTTCTTAGTTGATGCCTACACCTCTGCTAAGACTTTTCCATGAAGTCTTCCTGGATCTCCACAGTCTGAATTAGCTGCCCCTCCTATATGTTCTCAGAGTGACCAGGCCTTGTGTCTTCTGGTGGACACTGTGCTCACCACAACTTTTTTTCATGAGCTGAAGCTAGACTACATTTCCCAGTCTGCCTTGCACTAATAACTGCTATCATGTGACCAAGTTCCAGGAAATTAAACATGCATAGTGTCACTACTGTGAAAAGAAACTATTCTTTCTAGTCTCTTTTCTCCACACATGGGTTAAAAGGAGAAAACTTTTTAGCTCTAGAGAGAGAAGTCTGGGTCCCTGCATAACCACAAAGAAAATGGCACAATGAATACCCATTCACCCTGGACTGTAAGGTAAGAAAAATACTTTCATTATATCAAGCCAATGAACTCTTGGGGCTCCTTGTTATAGCAGTTTACCTATCCTAGTACATCCTAACACCTACCCTACACTGCACTGCAATTCATTTTAGGTCTCTGTGAACTCCTAAAGGGAAGGGTTTCTATTTTACAGGTCTCATTTCTGGCTCCTAACATAGTGCTAAATACATGGTAGGGACAGAGTAAGTATATATGGAAGGCAGGTCATTTCAGAGGGTACAAATGCATGAACAGACACCGTAGCACAGCAGAAAGTCTGCCCTGGGAGCATTTTTATCCTTTGTTCTGAATTAGCAGAGACCTTAGATGAGTCAGTTTCACCTCATGCACAACAGTTTCCTTGGCCATAAAATGAAGTTGGCTAGATCAGTAGTTCAACTTTAGTAAGCACTGGCATCATTCAGCGGGCCTATGAACACAAAGTCGGTTAGGCCCACACCCAGCAATCCTGATTCAACTGGCTTTGGGTGAGTCTCAAGAAACGCATTTCAACTAAGTTCCCAGATGATGCTGACACTGTTGGTTGTGGGACCACACTTTGCTAACTACTCGTCTAGATGATCCCAGATCTCTTATCTCTAAAGTGAGTGACCCAGTGACCCACCAATGCTTTGGAATCCCCAACATCCAAGCTTATGAGCTAAATAATGGATGATTTTTCCAGAGTTAGTTTGGCCTTTGGATCTACCAGATTGGAAATACACTATTTGTAGCCTACCATTTACATCCACAAAGTGGAATAAAACCCCACCAGAGATAAGACTGGTACCTCCTAAATCATTCAAATTTTAAAGGTAAGAAACTGCAACTGGGGTACCAGATCACTGGGTCAGGATTTCAAGCCAGCTCTTCCTGATGCCTTCTCCTTCACCCTCCACGCCAGCAAAGAACATTGTTATGGAGATATTTTTGTGTAAAAAGAATACTGACAAATAACCTAGTCCCACATTAATCCAAGTTTTCAATTCAGTGGATCTTTACACTGCGAATTGGCCATGGCATCCCATGATTGCCTGGTGTTGGCTGTGTACAGACACTGAAGGACCTAGCTCAGGTCACCAGGAAGTAAAAATAACCAACTCTCAGACTTTGATTTAATGGGAAAGACCTCCAATTCCTTTTCATGTCACCTGCATTTAGTGCACCAGATCAAATGCAGATCACAATATAATGACACCAAGACTCCATAAAAGCCACACTTCGTTATCATACATTTATTTTTAACATAGCACCCCAGTTCACATCATATACATTTTCCAAAGTTGGCGATTCTTAGCCTACTATGTTCTTCACAGAGTTACCAACAAGTGTGAAAAGAGGCAGTAAGGTTAGCTTGAGTCTACAAGTCACAATCGAAATATAGGAAACCCTGTATTTATGTTTAAGACCAGTATACATAATGTTCCCAGTGCTTAGCAAACAAATGAGACTGAGTAAAATATTAACACAACTTGTTAGCACATTATCATGAAAAGATAGTAGGCATCAAATATATACTTTGCCATTACTCATTTTACTGTTCATTGTACCTGTAGTGAAAAAATATACATTTTTTACTTTCAAGGTTAAAATAGACCATCAGCTCATTATCTGTCCTGGCCCATAGCTACAAAGGTGAAAATGGCTCTTCCTGCCCCTGGCTCACTTGAACATCTTATTTGTGCTGAAGACAAAAGCAATGGTGCTAAAGAAAGGGTAGAGTCAGCTCCCGAGGTGGACGCAATGGAAGCTCTCACACAAGACACCTTCAAACAAAACAACACAATACAACACAGCTCAGTTGAACCAACCTCCACCTGATGGGGCTATCACACCCACTTTTCCATCCTGCTAACTGAAGGAGTGTTAGGATCTAGTCTTGTCCGCAGAGTGCTTTCAGGTTTTAAGTTTCCCTATAAGTTCAGCATCCTTCGGTCTTCAGGTACAAACCCACTTTCCCCAACCTCCCATGGCCATGAATTTAGCTTAGAACAAGAGAACTCACAAAACACAAAAAATAAATATTCTCCAACTGTTGAGAGCAGAGCAAGGTTTCTGTAACTAGAACAAGTTCTTTTAATCAAAATCCTACAATGCCATTGTAGAAAATGTTCCTTTATCATCATTTGTTAGTCAACGTAGGAAGTAACTATACACACACCTAGAAGCAATGGTGTGCCTGGGACAAGCGGCTTCCACTTGTGGATGGGCCATTTCGGGGGGCACTTGGAAGGCAGTCTCTGAAAGCCTATTTGGGGAAGGGAAGCAGCTCTTATGTTGCGCTTGCTTTGAAAAGCCTGGTCCTCCATGCCTGCTGTTCTGAGTTGCTCTTGGGAGGGTCTTCCTGGATGCACTTCTCACAAAGAAGCAAGCAGGGTGGCTCACAGGTAAGACTCACATTCCAATTGCCATGAATGACTGCTGCATTGGCACGGCTGGGCAGTCTTCCTTAGCCTATGCCGAAGGAGCAGCAAGGTATGCCAACCCAGAATCCAAAACCCAAATCCTCAATCTTTACTGGGAATTGGGCCCCACTGAGTCATGAAGCAAAAAAAAAAAAATTGAAATACCCATAACTCAAAATAAATTCAAGTGTTCCTTTTGAAATCAGAGTTTTAAAAAAGTTCACTCAAAACAGAGTAAACCAGTTGGAAAGAGAAACCAAAGCTACTAGTGTTCCGTTTAACTAGAAGAGAAAACGGCCTTTCAAGTGATAACTCATTTTGTCCCTATTCACAATGTTTAAACCACAGCCTACAGAATCCTCCTTGTCAACATGGGAAGATCTGGGTGCTATGACATTTCAAATTCTTTTTTCTTATATTTAAGAAATCACAGTCCCTTGGTGATACCTAGTCAGGAGGTGTGACTCCAGCGTGTGTGGAAAGAATGCTTTCAGCACCGAGGCGCTACACTGCGATGGAGGTCCTGCTGGGCTTAGAAGACGACATTGGCAATGAGCATCTTAACTGCAAGAAACACGTCCATTTTTCATTCTCCCCTTATTGATCTTCTACACATCTATGATTACCTCGGTTGTGAGATCATTTAAGAAACAGGCTATAGAATCAAGTCACATATGAATAGAACAATGCTTTATGATAGTTCAGACATTGGTAGGATATCAAAGGAAAATTCATGTTTCTGATTACTCACCCTAAAATATGCTGAAATTGAACAATCTGTGATCCAAGTAACCAAAGATATATTGAAGAAAACTATGACTTACTACACATTGAGTTCATTTCGATCACAGTAGTCTATTTTAAAAACAAACTCCCATCAGGAATACAGGAATGGAATCCATTCAAAGCAACAGCTGTCAAAAGTTCTGCCAACAAACTCAGGGTAATATATTGCATCATGAAAGGTGAGGTGTTCAGAAGAACAAATAGCTTAATCATATTCTTTCCCTTCAGATTTTATTTTTTGTTTCAGTCCAAGAGAAATACCTAAAACTCATTAAAAACATGTTTTCATATTTTAAAGCTGACTAAGTCAACAGAATTCAATATGGTAAACAGAAGAAACCCTTCTAAACAATTTTCAGTACTGCTAGGGGCTAAAAGACTTAACTTAGAATCGGGCTGACATCCCAGTTCTGCCACTAGCTACATCTCTCTCTCTCTCTCTGCATTCGTGGACCAGACCTGTGGCTTCTTAGGGCACATGTGCAACCCGCAGGAGATAGGTGCAGGTCCCCAGCCTGGCACTCCATTTTCCAGTGAAAGCAAAATGGACATAGCTTCCAGTTAAGCTGCTTCCTCTCCCATTTAGGCCCAAAGCACATTTCTAATATTTTGATAAAGCAGTTAGATCCTTCTAACTAATGCCAATACCTGCCTTGATGACATCATGCACCTCCATTCCAGATGGCCTACCTCTTGGTCCTGCAGGATAGGGGTACTACAAAAGCGACACAGCTATACAGGAAACACTATACAGGAAACACTCAGTCCACTAACAGCTCTGACTGCGTTTTCTTCCTTGGGACTACAGGACCCCTGTGGGGGAAGACACTTAAATAACAAGGTCATTGAACCGTCATGGTTGATTTACAGAAGAGGTATAATAGTGATTTCAAAAATCCAGCCATCCCATAAATCACATAAAAGACTCACAGACCGATTATCAGGAGTGATAATCCTAAATTCCAAATGCACACTCTAAGACAAGAGAAACAGAGGATGACCACGAGTTAGGTGATAAAGCTATAAGGATAGGTGTATGTGCCTATGTATTTGAATGTCTTCTAAAAATCTTCTAAGCAACTAATAAACGGTAGCTACTATTAAGTGCCATCAAGAAGGTTGAGTACAGGTATTCCCGGTGTGTGCTTTAATGCAATGCCTATCTGAAATTATTGGTGAGACTATGCAACTCATAGGACTTTCATTGTCCAATGCAAATTTTTCCCTTCAATGGTCTTCATCGAAAACCATTAGCTTGGTTTTCAAGCTGATGGAACAAAACCCCAACCTCCTCATTTGGCTCTCTCTGGCATTGGCTTGATGGGGGGAAAACATGTCAAAAGTTCTCATGCACAATACAGACTAACATTCCTTAGTGCCTATGTCTGCTGAATGGATGTGAAGTGCTATCCCGAGCGAGCACATACGCATTAGAGAACAAGATAAAGCGCATACGCCAGCCGTGTCTGGACTGACTGTCCCAGAAGGCAAACGCCGTGAAATGCCTGCCACGAGGACACTGCTGCACACTGTTGCAGCCCCTGATCTCAGCACGTGGGAAAAGAGGTTACTTTAAAAAATTTGCACGGATCTATTCCTGATCTTGGGAAGGGCTTGCACTTATCCAAAACCCTTCCCCCAGAGCCTGGGGGGAAAAAAATGCTTAAAGGGAAGGAAATCCAAGTTTTCTGATTTTCAAAATCAATCCCTCAAAATCCTTTAATATGCACAGAATAGAGTCAACAATTTGTTTTTCCTTGGAAAAACATCATCTGTTTGAGTCCTCCCCTTCTGCCATTAGAAGATTGACGTGAAAGCATTAAATAAACGCCTACTTTTTCTAAAAGCTCTCCACTCGACTGAAATCAAGGCTCAATCCTCCATATTGCAAGCCTGTCCTAAGCCACTTGAAAAAGGAGCCTTGGCACACCCACCTGCTACCCTAAACATGCATAAGTGAGCAAAACGCACAAGAGACAGCGCTTCCTGCATGTGTCACATGTCACAGTGCCGGTGAAGCTGCTGTGCGCGTCCCTGCGAGGGGCGCTGAGTCCTGGCTCAGCGTGGGCTCGTGCAGAAGCAGCAGCTCTCTGCACTGCTGCAGGGCACCATGTCTGTGATTGGAGCTTTTGTTTTACAACATTTACACCGGAGTCGGTTGGGCTCCTCTGGACAGCCCACGAGCCAACGGCTCCCCAAGGATACACTTCACAGAGAACAAACTGTTATTTCTTCACACCCAATATACTCATCCTCACAATCCACGTTAAAATAACAAAGACAACAATAATTACCTAAGATTGTTAAATTGGTGGTAACCATCATTTCCCCCTCTTTCCCTGTTTGAATACATGGGTTCAGACAACAAATATTTATTGGTCCAAACAGTCTCATCAGCCTTTCCTATTTGATGGTGGTTCCCAGACTCATGCATTTACAGATATGCTGTCCCATGCAGGGTAAGAGTAGAGACCCGACAACTATGTCCTTACTCTGACTGGGCGAGGCAGTTAAAGCGAAATGGGCTTACCCAAAAGCTTATGTGAAAGCACTGAGTTGTCTGACTCGATGGCCTAGTCTGGCTAAGTTAAACAGATCATTGGCAAAATGTCCACTTTACAGAGGTGGAAAGACCCAATAAGTCTTTGACATTCCATAGAAAACAATAGCCATGTATTATTTATAGCTAGACTGAGTATCAAAATGGCACTGGAGAAGCAATTTTTGGCATATAGGGGTGGGAGGACACAGTGCCAGTCTGAATCTGATGCTTTTGTTTTATTTTAGCTTTAGTTTTTATTATCATCATGCCAAAGACTATCTGGCAGGAATTCCAAATATGCAGGAAACCAACCTACTATATAGGATACATATACAAAAATAAAACAAGCATCCTGAAAGTACTGGATTATAAGGTTTTCTAAAAATTATAAAGTCTTTAAATAAATAATGCTCTAAATTATTTTTATTTACTAGAAGACTGATTTTTTGGTAAGGAGCAACATCTAACACCTTGAGAATTGGAGATAAATTCCACTGATAATTACAATTTCAAGTGTGAAAATCAGCTGTATTCTTTTCCACCACAATAAAATGCACACGTGAAGTACAAGAGAAAGGGTGATGTGGATTATATGCCATTGCTCACAGCTTTTGACACAATCAGACATCTATGACAAGTAGTTGGGTTGAAACATTCAAAGGAAAGATCTTGGCAGAAAAGGTCACCCACTGTTACTTGAATCTCGGGGGTCACAACACGGTGACAGGACGAAGTTGTTCCAACTGGTTTTCCAATGCAATCCGTTCTTGATGAACCTCCTGCACGACACAAATCAGAAAGAAGAAAAACAAAAAAGCAAAGGGGTCACTTCGTGGGTTCACCCCTACTTCACCAGGTATTAGAAAGAGACATAACCAGACCCACAAACACTTATGTGCCATGTGACTTGAGGACAAGCGGACTGGATGGCGGCATATTTAAAGCGGGTGACTAGACAAAGGAGGCTTCGTAGCGCGTGATCTCTGAAGCCCTTCCTGAGGATACGCCAATGAAACTGACACACAACTCCACCCTCTCCTGCCACTCTAATCTCACCTTCGGTTTTAACAGGACCAGTGGCTGGCAGAGGCTGACATTAGAATTTTAAACAACTGAGTGGGAGGGAGAGGAAAAGCAAAAGCAGGCTCCTAGTACTGAGAGGCACGCACCAGGACTCAATTTTTATCTGCAACCCCTCCTTTATCTAGCCGAGCACCATACTCGGGCAGCACGAAGGACGGAAGGGTGCACTGGTCATCACACCACACAAGTTTCGTCCAGGTTCCTGCACAAAATATGGCTGAAGGCATGATTTCCTGGCTAAAGGCAGAAAATGGGATCAGCAATGTGCTACTGGAGAATTCACACGTCCAGCCCTAAAACAGACTTACCAGCAGAGAGACTGGGGACACCGATTCTTACGTAGAATTGGTCAAGGTGGGAAAGAATTTCATATAAAGTCTCAATTCCAAGAGGCCCTGAAAGAACTAACGAGCTAATCAAGCAGAGCTCAGCAAGTGTTTATTCGCCCGCCCTCCTGCCCACCCCGCCAACAGCCTCTGAGCATCTACCATGGGCCAGATTCTGCTTGAGGTGGGATGTTCCCAGCAAAGCACAGGAGAGATCAGACCCATCCCCCCACAGCCGTTATACCCAAATGGCTAGAGAAAAACAATCAAGGTAAAAAAGTGGATACTCCCAGGAGAAAATAGATCAGAGGTGGGACAGAGAGCAATGGGGGATCCGGGAGAAAGGCAGAGAGGGTGGGAAGTGGAGGCTTCTCAGAGGTGATGCCATTTGAACGGAGACTTGAATGAAGTGAGGGGAGAGCCATGTGAACATGTTGGGGGAAGATACTCAGGAAAGCAAAATGGCAACTGCACAGGCCGCAGGGGGAGCACGAACTCGGCGTGTCTGATGAACGAAAGGCCTGTGTGATAGAGCAGAGGCTGACATCAGAGTTCAGCGGGGGCTTGAAGAGCAGAATAAGGAGATTCATGATTCAAAGTCTGTGTGTGCGTGTGCGTGTGTGCAGTGGGGGGGTGGGGGAGACTGAGGGTTCTGAATCAGGAAAGGCATGTGATGTGATGAAGGTGCCAACGAACAATACCGCAATGATTATATTGCAATACGTAAGTCTATGAAATCAACATGCTATACGCCTTAAAATTACACAAGCTGTACTATCAATTATATCTCAATAAAGCTGAAAAAAACAGTGAACTACCATAGGATCCAAGAGCCCCACTTCTGGGCACATATCCAAAGGATTTGAAATCAAAGAGCTACCCGCACACCCCTATTCACTGCAGCATTAGCCACGAGAGCCAAGACATGGAAGCAGAAAAGCATATACACATGCAATGCAATATTATTCAGCTTAAAAAATAAGGGAAATCCTGCCACTGTGACAACATGGATGACCCTGGAGGGCGTTATGCTACGTGAAATAGCAACACCCAAAAGGACACCATTTCCGCGAGGAACCCAAAGTAGCCAAAACTCAGACAAGCACAGCAGCCCCAACGTAGTGTGCACAAGACAAAACCCCAATTTCAAAAATAATCGAATTGTTTCAAGAGACTTCAGAAGATAAAATATACAAAAGGTAAATAACCACAGAGAAAAGCGCTCCACATAATTAAGAAAAAGTAAAAATTGCATCACCATAGAACAGGCGAAATATAAAGACTAAAAACAGCCGATGCTGGTAAGAATGTGGGGCGAGGGGAGACCCCTACATGAGTGGTGGGAGTACGGAATGCTACAACCGCTGGAAAAAATGAGCAGTTTCTAATAAAACTAATCACACACACCACATCACCTACTAATCTTAATCCTAGATATTTACCCCAGAGAAAGAACATTATTCCCAGGTAAAGACTTACGCAAGAACACCGTGTTACTCAAAATAGCCAAAACCTGGATGTACATTGATAGAGTTGACGACCGAGCTGGCATGGTCACACAATGGAACGCCACTCAGCAAGAAGAGCGGATTCCTGACACGTGAGACAACAAATACAACTGTCAAAAGCATATTTCTAAGTGAAAGAAGCTTTGCGCAAAAGTACATGTTAAAGGACATCATTTACGATAAACTTAGGGAACAGCCAACACTGTGGTCTAAGAAACTGAGAACAGTGGTCGCCTCTGCGTACGTGGGGCAGGGCGGGCCTGAGTGGGAACATGAAAGCGTTCCCAGGGGTGACTGCAATGTTCCTGACTGGGATCTGGGTTCCAGAAGCACATGCACTTGCTAACAACGCAGCGAATGCACCCTGGAGAGGTGTGCGTTCGTTGCATGCAAAATTTATATCATAAGCCCATAACAAGATGTGTGCTAAGGCAGTTAGGGGAAACACACGGGTGACGGCCATTTACTTGCAAACATGTCAAGCGCCAGACGGCCTGATGGACAGAGGAGCGGCCAGACAACGGGGGAGCACAAGCAGGGGAAAGTGCCGAGGGCAGAACCGAGCTGATGGCTGTGAAAGGGTTCACTGCGTGGTTTCTCTCAGCTGTCTTTTCTGTTTGAAATGCTTCTTAATAAAACGCTGGGCCAAAGAAAGGACTCTACAAGAAATCAAAGAAGAGAGAGCTGAGCGTGCTAAGCAGGAAGCGCAAGGAAAGCAGCAGGAAGTGAGGAAAGTCCAGTGTCCCCAAAGCCAGTGAGCGAAGCGACTTCAGAGGAGGAATGGCTGGTTGTGCAGGATCCTTCCGAAAAGCCAACAGTATTAAAACCGGTCCGCTGGGCTTGGCCTTGAGGGGGCTGTCAGGGGAGGAAAGTGAAGTCACGCTGAAGTGGAGGAAAGAAAACTGCTGGCAAAAAAGTAAAGACAGTAAGTGAAAATGGTGCCGAAGAAACTAAGAGACCAGAGACCTGGGGCAGTGGCTGGAGGAGGCTGTGGGGTGAAGGCCAGTGGGCAATGCGGGGGCCTGTGTCTGTGCAGACGGGAACAATCTGAGAGAAACGGGATGTAATAGACAGACCTAGGGCCCCTGAAAAGAAAGGCTTAGGCGCCAACCCTCAGGACCTGCGGATGCGACCTCACATGGAATCATGGCAGACATCATCCAGCCAACCCGAAGTGATGCAACTACAGGCTAAGAAATGCCAAGGATTGCCAGCATCTACCAGAAGTGGGAAGAAGAAAGAAGTGTCGTTCTTGAGAGTGTTCAGAGAGCACGCACGGCTCTGCTGACACATGCCTGCAGACTCTGGCCTCCAGAGCCGTGAGAGACTAAACGCCTGTTACTTGAAGTCACCGAGTCTGTGGCACTGTGCCATAGCTGCCCGGGGACACTAATGTAGGAGAGCGTGACCGGGATGAGGAATCGGGGAGAGGTGATGTCCCCGAGGGCAGAGGTGATGTCCTTGAGAAGGTGATATGGAACCACTGCACGGTACCAAGTGAGGGGCTGGGCTTTGATAGTACCAGGGTCACCTGCTTGCTCTGAGCAGCACAGCGTCGCTCAGAGAGGACCGAAAGAAAGGGCTTACCCAAAAGCTTTGAGTAGCAGAGAATACTTCAAACAGCCTTTGAAGGTGGGTGTTCACACCTCACCCTCCTTTCAACTAACACACCCTATGCAGCCCACACATTAAAGTGTCCAGTCTCCCTCTAAGCATGTAAGAACCACCCCATGGAAGTTAAAACACAGCCATCCTCGGCCTTCCAAATGAGAACAGAGGGGCAAGTCTGACCTACAGGGATGGAACCAGACGCTCAGCCAATGTTTGTCTAAACAAAACTAAGCGGCCAGATGAAAGGGCCAGGATGTAATAGACAGACCTCGGACCCCTGGAAAGAAAGGCTTAGGTGCCAACCCTCAGGACCTGCGGATGTGACCTCACATGGAATCATGGCAGACATCATCCAGCCATGTCCAAATCCACGACACTCCTTACCTTGAGCTGCTGCTGGAGCTCACTGTTCAGCCGCGCCAGCACCGCGTTCGCCTCCTTGTTTTTGCGGATAGCCGTCTGGATGGCCTTCTTCTGTTTGGAGGACTGCCTGCGGGAGGACAGGCGGCTTAGTGGGACAGAACTCGGAGGTCCAGACCCTCGCAGGCCAGACCTCAACGATTCATGGGAAGTGCTAAACTAACAAGAGGCTAATGTCACAGGACTCCAAAAATAAAATCGTATATTCAGCGGCAGGCAGGCAGGCCCCACACGAAACAAATTTGTTGGGATGAATTATTTACACCTGCAGAAGTTTTTATTTTGTCACTTGAAGAAAAGCTATGAATTGGGCCTTTTCAAACACTTTGAATTCCATTTAGCCAAGACATTCTAATAAGTATTTCTTCCAGGGCAGGTGGCCCCTGTGGAAAGCGCAAAGAAAACAGAATAGAAGAACATTCTCTTTAGCAAAATGCCTATGTTAATTTAGCCAGCCTACATAACTCTGCTCTGTTTCTGTTATTAGGCACGAATAACCGAGCGTGAGTGTGAGGACATGCAAGTCCCCTCACCAGCACACACGTGCAGCAATAGAGAAAAACACAGACTCTTTTAACATCTATACCCCCAAGCCCAGTCACAGCAAATCCATAGAACAGGCCTAACCAGGGTAACCGCAGGTCGCCCTTTGCCCACTAGTCTCTGCTGCTACTGTTTGTGCAGCCCTGGATATTCCTGGCATCCTCTTTGCCCCACAAAACTGTCTACGGTTGGGATGATAAATCAACATGGTGTTAACACTATATCCTCATGCCCCACAACAAGAGTCATGAATTCTCAAAGGAAAATGGAAATGAAACCCCCTAGAAAGACAGACATGTTCGCAATCACTGGAAGACACTGACCGCAGCAGAGGCGGTGGGTGTTCACACCGCGCCAGGTGCCCTGCCAGGCTGCACACCGCACCCTCCCTTTCCACAACAAGTGTTGAGTTAAAGGTTGATTTTTCATACACATAGGCAGGGAAGAGACTTCAAAACATACTTTCAAAAAGATGAAGTCTGGACACCTGGTTTTAGGGTAAGACAGAGTAGACGCACTGCCTTCTACCCTGCCCACCGACAGCTGAACCCTGGACGGTGTATGTAAAATGACCCCAACCAAGGTGTGATAAAGTCACACAAGCTAGGGAGCTCAGTAGCCGGGGAGACACACAGCAGTAAATTTCCCGGGTTTTCTTTTTTGCCTCATATATTCCAAACTGGATATGGAGAAGTCAGCAGTCCAGAAATGCCAATGAGGACAGATGAGAAACATCCCTCCAAGATCTCCTCTCTCTAGCCAGAGGACTTGGAAGGAAGCAGCCATAGCAAAACAGAATTAGACACAACACCCCTCATGAATATAGATGTAAAATCTTTAACAAAATATTAGCAAACAGAATTCAGCAATATATAAAAAGAATTCTATACCCATGACCTAGAGAAGCTTACTCTGGGGGTACAAGACTGGCTCAGTATTCAAAAATCCATCAATGTAATCCACCCCAATAGCAGGTAAAAGAACAAAAGTCATATGACAGTGTAACTGATGCGGAAAAAGCATCTCATAAAATTCAATACCCATTTATGATTAAAAAAAAAAAAAGAACCACTCAGAAAGCTATGAATGAGGTGAACCTCCTCAAGTTGAACTTTTTTTTAAGACTTATTTATTTATGCATATAAGAGCTGGGGTACAGGCCAGAGGTGCGGTGGGTGAGAGGATTCACCAGAGACAGAGTGGGGAAAACAACAGGCAGATCCACTAAAACACACTGCTGAGGGGAGCAGCAGGCGAGACAGGAGAGGTCTGCTGCACCATGTGGGTTGCTCCTGCGGCAGATGGAACTTGTGCTGCGGTGGCTGCGGTTGAGTCTTAACCCTCTGCGCCACCAGGGAGACCCTCCTCAAGTTTAACTTTTACCAAAAAAAAAAAGTTAACATCATACTTAATGAAAAATTGAATGGTTCCCCTGAGATTAGACAAAGCAAGGATTTCTCTTCTCATCACTATTTTCAGCACAATCTGGAAGTCCTAGCCAGCACAGTCGCGTAAGAAAAAGAAACAAAAGGTACAGACATTGAGAACAAAGATATGACATTGTTCCTACTTGCAGATAACATGACAGTCTATGTAGAAAATCCCAAAGAATCTATAAAAAATGCCTAGATCTAATAAGTGATTTCGGTAAGAATCAAAGTGAGTTTGCAGGACAGATTAACACATGAAAATCAGCAGTATTTTGACATACTGACAATGAAACCTGGAAATCCAAATTTAAAATACAATATCATTTACAAAGACTCCAAATGAAATCATTATCAAAACATGTAAAGAACTTGCATGCTGAAAACTATACAATACTAATGAGAGAAATAAAATGGGATCTAAATAATGGAGAAATAGATCATATTCATGATCGGAAGACTCAGTAAAGCCATCAACTCTCCCCAGATTGGTACACAATTCCTAGTAATATCCCAGCTCAAGACAAAATTATTCTAAAACTTAGATTGAAAGTCAAAGGAATTACAAATACCGAAAACAATTTTGAAAAAGAACAAAGCAGGAGAATTAAAACTCTATAGCTAGAATACCCAGCAATCAAGTAGTAAAGACAGCAACAAGACCGTGTGGTATTGGCAAAGACACACAAACCAATGGAACAGAACAGAGAGCCCCAAAACAGACTTACACAAGTATAATCTATTTACTTTTGACAGGGGTGCAACAGTAAGCCAAGGGGGAAAGAAGAGCCTCTTTAAACGGTGAAGCAAGTCTATGGACAAAAAATAATAAACCTTGACCCAAATCTCATGTTACATAAAAATTAAACTGGTCACCGACTTAAATGTACAACATAAAACTATAAAATTTTAGAAGAAAACTTAAGAGAAAAACTACGGAACCGGGCGCTTGGTGAAGAGTCCGTAGGTGTGATACCAAAAGCACAATCCAGAAAAGAAAAAGAAATAAATAAATTAGACTTCATCAAAATTTTAAAAGTGTCTGCTCTGTGCAAGAGGATAAAAAGACAAGAGACAGACTGGGAGAAAATATTTGCCATCCACAGATCTGACAATTGCTTTACATGTAGAACATATAAAGACCTCTCAACACTCAACAGCAACCAAAAAAAAAAAAAAACCAATTTGATTAGAAAACAGGTTAAGGACATGAAGAACATGTCACCCAAGAGGATGGATGATGGCAAATACACACATGAAAAGATGGTCAACATCACAAGCCTTGGGGAAATGCAAATTAAGATCATGAAGGGGCCGCACTACCTATTAGGATCACTAGAATGAAAATAGTGATAATCCCAAATGGTGGTAAGAATGTGGGAGAAACTGAATCTGTCAAACACTGCTGGTGGAAATGTACAATGGTGCAGCCATTTTGAAAAACAACTTGGCAATTTCTTTAAAAACTAAACACGCACTTAGCACATAACTCAACAATCACACCCCTGGACATTCATCCCAGAGAAAGGGAAACATACATTTACACAAGAACCTGTACACAGATGCTAACGGCGGCTGTAACTGCTGTTATACTGTCACACTGTTTGTTATACTTAACAACTAGACACGACCAAAATGTCTCCCCACAGGCGAATGGCTAAACAGACATGGTATATCCCTGCCGCTGAACAGTGCTTAGCAGTACTGACCGGACATGCCCGCAACTGCTTGGATGGACAACAAGGGCGTTATGCCCCTTGTGAACCAAACACAAAGGGTCACATGCTGTGTGCTTCTACTTACATGACATTCTCAAAATGACAGGCATGGGAAACAGAACGATGGTTGCCAGGGGGGTAAGGAAGGGTGGGGAGGAGGGGTGGACGTGACTTCTGTCTCTTGACTACAGTGGTAGCTACAAGACTCCACACGTGGGATCGAATGACACAGACCCATACACAGGTACTGTCTTAATTCATTTTCTTGGAGTTTATATTGGTTAGGTAAAATGTAATTCCTGATTAAAAAAAAAAATGTAATTCCTGAGAGAAGCTAAGTGTAAGATACTCAGGACTTTCTTGCACTATTTCCTCAACTTGAATCCATGATTATTTCAAAATAGAAAGCTCTTTTAAAAGATGTTGATCATTACTCGATGCCCCACCATAAGCACTCATCAGGGTTCGTGTGTCCAGCTTACAACAGTGGCAGTACCTCCACCCCAGACCGAGGGAGGGGCAAGAGCAGGCCCTCCTGCTCTGCGGGGACTGCGTTGATCCCCGACAAAGCTGGGAACAACTGTAAACATAGCTTCTAGAACTGCAGCACCGTGAGGCACTGGACACTCAAGCTTCTGTGGCAGACTATGCTCCAAAACCTATTCTTACACCTTCCTTCTAACACCATCCTCTGTTTGAGCTGGTCACACGGTATCCAACGAGAAACTGCCATTTCCCTGCTCCCCTTGCAGGTAGTCACGTGAGGCCGCCTGACTGTGCGGCGTGTGCCACTGCCGAGTTAGGCCCTTGAAGGTAACCTGTGTTCTCTCCCTTCATCCTTCCCCCCTTTCTGGGGTCTGGAACGTGCTCGTGGTGAGCCATCTTCCCCCACAAGGATGAATGCAACACCCGGGCTGATCTAGAAGACCACAAGAAAACTGCCTCTGCCGCTGGACTACGTACCAAGTCAGACTTTCACATAAGAAAGAAATCAATTTCTGCGTTCTCTGAGTGCAGATGACTTAGGTTTTCTTCAAACAGCTGCACAATATTTTAAGGACTATACACTGGGACCTCTGGGTCCCAGTCAAGATGGGAAAAATCTTAACCTTCACCCGGGGCCCTAACTTCTTCCTAGGAATGCCAAGGGCAGCTTCTAAACTCAACTTGTACTATCTTTCTCTACTTGGCAACGGTAGGTGAGTCCAGTTAGCAACACCATAGCCGCCCCAAGGTTGCCACGCGGGAGGAAGGGAAACAGACTGCCAACCACACTGCGCGTTTGACACAGGCCGGCAGACGGTGCCTACTGGCTCCTGGGAATGCCCCGGGCTGTCCAGGACAACTCCTGGCTCGCAGAGCAGAGCAGCAGTCCGAGGCTGACAGCAGTTGAGGCACAGTACTGCCACACAGCATGCTCCGTCTCCAAGCTGCTCCAGCAACTCTCTTTTCCCAAAGTCCGTCCTCACAGACACCCGAGCCGTGGGGGGAGAAACCCATCACACCAACTTCTTCCTAAGAAAAACCCACTTATGCGCTTCTCGGCAGCTCACACTGATGATGAAACCTTAGAGTTGCTTATTACTCATATCCTGGACTCAGCAGCTCACCTGGAGAGAACATTTTATTTTATTAGTTACTGCGCCCTAAATGGAGCAGACAATGATGTTATTCAAAAGAGGGGTCGAAAGGAAAGGAAGGAAATCAAGCCAGCCCGAAGCCAACCATAGCCCGTTGGCTCACGTTAGGTCCTAGTGCTTAGAAAACCTCTTTCTATGTAAAAGCTCCATTAAGGAGATGAATCCGGTGTGACGACAGCCCGCAAGGGACGCTCCCCAAGGGTGTGAGTGTAAATGCAAGGCCTGACCCTGACATACGCCGCGGATTTAAAAGGAAGTTTCTGCCTCCCTCTCATTTGCGTGTCCTACTCACTTCTGGACGGTTGGATGAGGCTTCACATTTGCTACAGGAGTCGGCCCGCTGACAGGGGCAGAAGGTTCTTGGCTTTCTGTAACTTGATTTTCAGTTCGAAATTTCCTACGGATGGGCTTTGATGGAGGCTGAGAATACGGCATGTCCTGTGGATTAAAGACAGAACAAAAAAATCAAAAAGTTAAAGCAAATGTTCTCCGCCACCATGTCAATCCCCGTGGCCCTCTGGCCCCTTGCTCAGGGTCGGGGTGCTCTACCCACAGCCGGAGATACAGGGCTGATTCGCGGCTGGGCAAGAACGAGGCGCCTCCCCCCTGTGAGAAGGGGCCATATAGAAAAGCCTGGCAACAGCAGCTGTTGGCGAGGAGGTGGAGAAAAGGACCCTCATCCACGGCTGCTGGGAACGTCACTTGGTGCTGCCTCTATAGAGAAGAGTATGGAGATTCCTCAAAAAAAAAAAAAAAAAAAAACAAAACCCTGAAAACGGGAATACCATACTACCAGGTATCTACCCCCAAAATATGTAAACACTAACTCAAAAAAACTTACTCACACTTCTGTTTATAGCAGCATTATTCAAAATAGCCAGCGCCAGAATCAGCGAAATGCCCGTGGCCAGACGACTGGCTAAAGAAACTATGGACTACATACCGCATGGAATACCACTCAGCTCTTAAAAATGATGAAATAGTGCCTTTTGGGACAAAAAAATAAATGAATCTTGGGACATTTTGGTCAGTTAAGATTATACTAAGTGAAATAAGAAAGTGAAAGAGATAATGGATGGCCTCAGTCACTCGTGGGATGTAAATAACCAGAGAAAACAAGCGAGCGAAACAAGAATGATTCTTCGGATTATGAAAAATAAACTGTTTCCCAGACTGGACGAAGGGGCAGGGGAGAGCCTGGGGGCATGGAGCTGTGGCCCTGGACAGTGTGGGAGGGTGAGTGAGGCACATGCACACGTGGAGGGGTGAAGTTGTGCTCCCCAAGCTAGAAAGTTCTGCAATCTAGCAGCAAATCAATCAAACATGAAGAAAGCAAAGCAGAGGAGGGACTTGGGCATCAGATTCCAGCGGGTCTTCACGCCTGCAGTCTAGGACCTCTTTTTGTCACTGGAAGTACACTGAGGTTGCTCCTGCGTACTTTGCGTGGCGTGCCTTTGCGTGATCCCAGTCTTTTTCAAATGCTGCGTGCGTCTCACCCACTGGGCCTTCTCTAACTGAAGACAAAACCGGCTCTGGTCTCAGTTTGGGGCATGTGGAAGTTTTCAAGTTTTCAAGTCTGTAATGGTCTTGTAGCGCGCTCGTCGTTCCCCGACCCCCTCTTTCAACATGAAGTCAAGCAAAAGAGCCAGTGTCTTCCGAAGGAGAGAGCTGACCTACTTCCCCGGAGGCCCTGCCTCGCCTGGGCTCCGGGGCCCAGGGCCCACTGCTTTTGATGGGAAGGACAAGAGGAGGGTGAGGTGGCGACGAGAGTGAGTGTGGTGCTTGCTGAGCAGATGACAGGTGACTCAGTGACATGAGTGGGCTGAGGTGAAGGTGATGGGATGCAAGAGGAGACCATGGTACAAAGACAGAAAGGGGGAGACTACCCCTCCTCCAGGGTGCTCCTGGAGGCTCATCAGCAGGAGTGTGGAGTTTTGCTAAAAGCATCTGACCTGCCCCCACTGCACCTCTTCATCCTGTCAAAAGCAAGGCCACCACGTGTAGCTAGGAGGTTGAAGGTGGAAATACAAACTGTCAGTAACATCAAGATCAGGACCCTAATCTTCACAAAGAACCCAGATCCTATGAGCTCTGGTTCTTGCACATTCACGTCAGGATGTAAAAACCCTTGAACGGTAGATTTGCTAAGAGAGGCGACAAGCCCAGGACGGGCGCCTCAGCACACCACAGCGGCGCCCTCATGCTGGCCTTACCTTCTTTGCAGGACTACCTTCGGCGGCTTGGGAGGGGGCTCTGTTCAGCTGGGGGTGCAACTCAGCCTCCGAGGCCTGTTCAGACTGTAGCAAAAGATCACAAAGAGGATAAAAATGCATAAACAGAAGAACTGACATAAAAAGGAGCATGTGGGAAAACGGTCACCAACAGAAAGGATTCAGACCAACGAGCAGCCAAGCATGGTCAGACCCGCTCAGCCTTGTGGGTCCTACTCTTCCCTCTCACCCCTTTTGAGAATTACTCAACTTGAGGGAACGGAATCGTGGCACCTTCTTCTATATCTGGACATACACTGCACTAAAAAATACCCAACACTTCTCAAGTTCAAACTCTTAAAAAAAGCAAGCTTATCGGAAAAAACAGGGCTGAGAAGTAACTTAAAAGTTTAGCGTGAACACGAAAACATTACTCGCAATTTTAAGACTTCAATTTGAATAATCAATAAAAAAGAAGCGCTCTAGGGGAAGCGACTCCTTACCTTTAAAAAGGTGTGCATGTGGGGGAGCATGCAAGAGCAAGGGCTGAGGCTGCTGAGGGCGCGCAGCCTGGCGAGGCCTGCCCTCAAAGCCCTCTGGACACACGGCACCCGCAGCCTGCACACAGCACGGGCAGGCCACATGACGTGCTACTCCCCAAGTCCCCCACGCCCTAAAGCTTTGTGCACGTAGCTTGCCACACTACACTAGGCTGCAGTGTTAGCCGACCTTGCTTTCAGCTGCTGTTAGCCAGAGATGCGAAATGTTACCAGGCTGAGAAAAACCCTCCCTACGAACTAACGTGACTTCCACATTCTAGTGAGCTTCATCCTCCATTTGCCCGCAAACTAGTCTGCACAATAGAAACACACACCACAGCACGTCACAGGGCCTGGGACAACATGCCCTTGTCCCAAGTTTTGCTAGTTTCGTTCACTTGTCTGAAAGCCAACGCTTGAATCTTGTGAAGGAAACAAATGTGCGGATTACAATCAAGAATGCAAGTGGCGGTCCTCTCCCACCTATCACCCCCCACCTCCATGTGTGACAGCGTGTGCCCAGCCAGGATATGGCAAACCAGGATAATGACTGTTGGGACAAGGCTCACTGAAGTTGACTATAAGATGCCTTTAAAAATACATACAGGGCCTCCCCGGTGGCGCAGCAGTTGAGCGCTGGGTTGCGAAGCTGCCCGCAGCCTCTGCAGCGCTGGTTCAATCCCCAGCTGCCGGGCGAGAGTCCCACATGGAGCGCAGACCTCTCCTGCCGCCTGCTGCTCCCCTCAGCAGTGTACTTCATCAGTCTGCCTGTTCTGTTCCCCGCTCTGGCTCTGGTGAATCCTCTCACCCTCCCGCACTTCTGCCTGTACCCAGTGCTTGTATAAATAAATAAATAAATCTTTAAAATAAATAAATAAATAAATAAAAATACATACACCTCAAGTTAGAAAGCTTCTGTACAGCAAAAGAAAATACAAGATGATTCAACAGACCCTACTGAGTGGGAGAAAATATACAATATAGTATGGATAAGGAATGACTATCCAAGATACATAAAAAAAACCTCATACACTTCAACAATAAAAAACCAAAATAACCCAATTAATAAATGGGCAGCAGATACGAACAGACAAGTCACCAAAGAGGACATCCAGAAGGCCAAAAGACATGAAAAAATGTCTATCATCACTTCTTAAAAGAGAGGTGCAACTTAAAACTGCAATGAGGGACCACCTGACACCCATGAGAACAGTTCATATAAAGACCCCCAACAAGTGCTGGAGAGCATGTAGAGAAAAAGGAACTCTATTACACTGTTGGTGGGAATGTGAGCTGGTGAAATCATTATGGAAAGGAATCTAGATTTATCTTAAACTAAGAATGGAAGTACCATACGATCTGGCCATTCCATTCTTGGGCAGCTGTCCACAGAAACCATCAACACAAAACCCCACAGCTTCCACAATACTCACAGCGGCATTACGCACAATAGTGTGGACATGGAAGTAGCCTACAGCTCCTTCCACAGACGAATGGATCAAGAATATGTGGCACATACATACCACGGAGTACTATACAGCCATAAGAAAGGGTGAAATGCATCTGTTTTCAACAAAATGGTGGGAATTTGAGAGATTATATGCAGCAAAGTCAGAACATTAAAAACAAACGCTGAACATTCACACAGCAGATAACATGACAACATCAAGCACTTCCAAAAACTAGTGGACATCAGTAAACATTCTGGGGGCTCTGGGTTAAGAGGGAGGGGGGAGAGGAAGGAAGAAGGGTGGTGAGGGGAAAAAACATAAGTATTAATATTAAAATATGAGCTCTCTATATGCATATATGTGTGTGTTTTAATATTTATGCTCCCCTGCCCACAAATGAGACATATTTTCATTCTAATCTTACAGTGAAAAGCATGGCTAGGTCATAAGCACTTGGAAGGCACTGCCCCGTAGGATGTGGAGAACCTTCCTGGGGCTCTGTCTGTTCCCATGGTTGCTGGGACAGTATGGCCCCTGCTCAGTTGGCTTCTCACAAATGGGTATAGGTCCCCGAAAGCCTGCGCATCGTGGCTCACCACCAGAAGAAGGGTTCATTCTCTCATTCAATTATACAGATATTCTTTCCTATAGCTGATGTGTCACTTTCCAAGAATCCTCATCTCAGGTTCTGCTGCTAGGGAGCCAGACCTGATACACCAGGCAATACGCTCCCCAAAGAGGGGAAGCACTTGAGTATGCGCCTCCTTCACTGGTCGGCGTCTGCCTGTCTCTCTCTCTCCTCGCTTGTTCTGGACAAAAACAGCTGCTGTGCTGGGAGGACATTCAAGCAGTCCTAACATGGGTCCCCGAGCAAGAAAGTAAGGTCTTCTGTCAAGAGTCATGTGTCAGGGCCTCCCCTGGTGGCGCAGCGGTTGAGCGCTGGGCTGCGAGGCTGCCCGCAGCCTCTGCAGCGAGCACGGGTTCATTCCCTGGCCGCCAGCGAGGGTCTCACAAAAAAAAAAAAAAAAAAAAAAAAGAGTCTTGTGTCAGAACCATCCCAGAGGCGATCGTCCTGCCCTGGTTGAGCCCTCAGATGACGATGGCCCTGGCTGACATTCTGCCCGCAGGCCAATGACAGACCCTGAGCCAGAACCGCCGAGATTAGATCAGTTGCTCCTCAATCTCTGACGCACAAACACTTAGAGATGATGCTAGTTGTTCTGGGCTGCTTAAAAGACCCACCAGTATGTCTACAGTATGCGTCTACAGCAGGGCAGGATAAGGGTGAAAGTGGGGAGAGGAGCAGAAGAGCCGAAACTGGAGACAGGCAGTGGAGGGGATCACATGTGGTCTCACAGACGACGCACTTCCTTTTACTGCAGGGGGTGGAGGCCAGGAACTGCATTTACAGAATCTCCTCCCCACAGGGTTCCTGGCTGCTATGGAGAGTCACTCAGATGAAATCAAGAAGATGAAAGAAAACAGAAGCCATGTTATTACTTCCCTGGCAGTGACAGGAAGAAAATCATGGGTTTCCGCAGTCAGGAGATCTTGTAATGACTTCAGGCGACCCAAGCATCTTCAGCTGGTTCCTTTAGTTCTTACAGTGTCTTTATTTTCAGAAAGTTGTGGCAAACCTGACTGTGGCCATGTTCCCTCCTGTTTGCTCCTCGAGCCCACTGACTTCTTTCCATAAAGTACCTCATTGAATGAAATCGTTTCCAATGTGAGGTATCGAGAGTGGTTTCTGTTTTCCTGATCCTTGGCAGACACATTCATGTTGAGTATTTGAACTTTATCCTGAGGGTCATAGGGGCCACTGAGGATTCTGAGTAGGGAACTGATCTGGCTAGATTTGCCTCTTAGAAAGATTATTCTAGAGCCAGTGAGCAAAACAGGTTGGGAGCAACCCACCTGGGGTAAGGAAATTCAATCAGAGAGCTGAAGAAGAAAACAAGATGAGAGGAGATGATCATCTAAACCAGTCTGGTAGGAATGAGGGCGGGCAGATTTGAGAGCTATTTAGAGTGGTGACTGAACCATGCTCGGTGACTGATGGAATGCGATTAAGGGAAAGAATAATGACACGTGGAAGCCAAGTTTTGATCTTGGACAATGAATAAATGATTGAGAGAGAAAATAGTTTAGAGCAAGAGGGAAGAAATGTGGATGCACAAAAGCTGAATAAAATGAAGCAGATCCATCACAAAGAAGTGCTAGGATAACCCATCTATATTTTCTTACAGCAGTATCCCTCAAATAGGGGTTCCAGGGAATACCAGTTCCATGAATTACTTAGAACAGAGATTGGCAAATACACTTTGTAAAGAGCCAGGTAGGAAATGTTCTGCTTTAAAGTCATTCATTCTGTCTCCCTTGCAAACATGTAACTCTCTGGCTGAAAGCTAAAGTGGCCACAGACAACACAGTAAGTGGGCATGGCTGTGTTCCAATAAACTGTTATTTACAAAACAGGTGCTGGGATACACTTGGACTACGGGTCACAGTTTGCCAGCCCCTGGTTCAGAGAGGAGAAGACTCTACAGATAAGCTCAGGGGACACTGGCGGTCTACTTCCCTCTTGGAAATTCACAGAACACACAGCGCCTCACTTGCTCGGAGGTTGTGTGAGGTAAAGGGAGGTGCCTGCTTTTGCTTACCCAGCAGTTCCAAATATACTCCCTTCAACTCCGTATTCTCATGTAATTTCTCTAAATATCCAGCAGAACTAATGTTCTGTGCAACTGAGTGGGAAACACTGACCTATAGTTTTAGAACAAAGGGAAAATATTCCGTTTGACTTGAATGCCAAATGCACGTTCCACACCCAGTCCTTCCGAGGAGCCTTCTTCACGGTGTTTGCAGCTCCAACTCCAGGGCCCCTGCTGTACTTTCCTCTCGACGGGGCCCAGAGTAAGGAGGCAGGGAGAAAGTGGGGTGCTGCCCAGCAAGGAAGAGCTTCCTTCCTTCCCACCCCCCGCCGCTCTTAGCCACAGCAGCTGTTGTTGCTGCTGCCAACTACTTCTCTGCATGAATTTATTTACTGGGCGCCTTTAAAACCTTCTGGACACAAACACAATAGAAATCATTCATTATA